GGAAAAATACTACCTTTGTCATAAGGACAGTCTTGATACATAGCAGACTTTTTCTTTATGTTTTTTATAACTTTCTTGAGTTGTATCTCCTATACCATGAAGTTTACCCACTTACAGGTTTTTAGTATCTTACAAAGCTCTGCACTGATCAGTCTGATTTTTGGACCTTTACATACCCTCCACCCCAAACCTGGTACCCCTTACATCAGTTCCTCCTCCCCTCCTTGACTACCACCTGGTATTGCTCATCTACTTTCTGTTTCTATGAATTTTGCCTATTCTGGGCATTTCACAAATAGAATCATACTACCTATGGCATTGTGAGAGTAGCTTCTCTCACTTAGCATGTTTTAAAGGGTCATCCATGCTGTGCCACATATCAGTTCTTTATTCCTTTTTGTGGCCACATAATATTCCATTGTAGTGGATATACCACATTTTGCTTAGGCGTTCATCGTTGCTGAATCATGAGGTTGTCTCCACTTTTTGGTTATTATGAGTAATGCTGCTATGAATATTTGCAGGCAGCTTTTGTGTGTGGACATTCCTCCGGATATAGGATGCATATGCTGCATCGTTAATTTGTGTTTAGATATTGAGGAACTGTGGAACTTTTCATCATTGCCGTGTGCATTCCTTTCCTTTCCTTTCCTTTCCTTTCCTTTCCTTTCTTTCTTTTATTTATTTATTTTTTTTTGGAGGTGTAATTGATACCTCCATATCACAAAAGGAAAGAAAAACCCTGTACATATTTAATGTAAAAAGTTTGATTAGTGCAGCAAGTGCAATCTTAAGTCATATTGTAAATGCCAATAAGTTACTGCCAGGACTCCATTTTTCACCATGTTTGGGACTTTACTTTGTTTTTTGTCTTCTTTGGTCAGTACATATTATAAGAAAAAAGAAACTTGATAAACTTATTTGACTTGAAAAATGCATAATTAGGACTTATTTTGAAACCTCTCAGAACAATTAGCATTTTAAAGAGAAAGAAAAACAAGTCAAAGGAATGACTCTCATAACACTAGAATTTCAGTGATCAGGTTCCTGGAGAAAAAGACACTTTTGAAAAAGATGAGAGAATTTTCTGGATAGCAGTCTAGTATGACAGAGACAGCACATGGACTTCCAGTCAAACCAGCCTAGGTCAGATCTTAGCTTGTTGTATAACATTCCTAAGTTACTTGATTTAACAGGGCTTCAGTTTCCTCTTCCGCGTAGAGAAGATAATAATACCTACTATATAGGGTTGCTTTAAAAAGACAGTAATATAAAGCACATGGTTGAATGAGTTGCTCAGTGTGTGGCAACTACTGTTATTGTTTTTAAACCACATAGCAAAGGACTGACTACCTCTCTTATCAAATTGGCCTTGTGCAGGTTGGATTTCTTCCTAACTGCTGAGTAATTTCGGTGGTTCACCAAACTGCTTGCTGACCCCACTTTATGTTAACTAGGTTTCTGCGTGGGAGAAAAAAGGTTTTAGAAAAAGCTCAAAATGCACCTTCACACTCTCACAGCCTCCTCCCATTATCCTGGAGTTCAGGAGAGAACCCAATACAACAGTGGTGTTGCTCAGTGAACACACTGGTAATTTCAAATTCAAAAAAGTAAAAAGAAACAAGGTAGGATTAACTTTATTATACATCTTACTGAACCAAAATGAACTAAAACATTTCCTTCATCTAATCAACGTAAAAATCATCAATGAGGCCAGCGCTGTGGCTCACTAGGCTAATCCTCCGCCTGTGGCGCTGGCACCCCGGTTGGGTGTGCCGGATTCTGTCCCGGTTGCTCCTCTTCCAGGCCAGCTCTCTGCTGTGGCCAGGGAGTGCAGTGGAGGATGGCCCAAGTGCTTGGGTCCTGCACCCGCATGGGAGACCAGGAGGAAACACCTGGCTCCTGGCTTTGGATCGGCGCAGCGCCGGCCGTGGCAGCCATTTGGGGGGTGAACCAACGTTAAAGGAAGACCTTTCTCTCTGTCTCTCTCTCTAACTCTGCCTGTCAAAAAAAAATCATCAATGAGTTATTTTACATTTTTTTTTAAATTAGATGTTGAAAGTCATCGTGTGTTTCTCATTCCCAGCACATCTTGATGTGGACAAGTCATGCTTTGTGTGCTCAGTAGCCACATGGGATGAGTCGCCGCCATATTGGACTACACAGCCGTCAATGGTTGTTTTGGCACAAGTCTTTGTTTTGTTCCTTTTTTTTGGCAGCGATTTTGCACTCTGAGGAAGACACATGGTTGTTCTCTACTCAGACTTAATCTGGTAGATCTGTAGCAATGGAAATTGGTTCCTGATGGATAGCCATGTTCCAGAATAAAGCATTATCTGAGGCATCTCTTACTGGCACTGCATCCTCTGAGGTCACTACTGGGAGCCAGGATGGGGTGGCTCCCCTACATCACCCAATCTGTTTTTTTCTACTGTATTTCCATGACTCCTGATTTTCTGCTTTGTTTCCTTATCCATAGCAGAATCTAAAATGTTTCCTAAAATAGAGTGAGCGGGCTGTCTTCAGTTAGAATACAGTGAAACAAGGACAGAGGACTCCCTGGGGGCCAGGGAGGTGGTGACAAAAGGTTTTGCTTGCTGGACCCTGCATGGGGAGTTCTGAGGCCTGTTGCGGACTGCTCCCAAGTTAATAAGTTGTTTTGAGAACACCGTTTAACATCCTGGTCTCAGGTTTCCACGTCCATGGAATGGGTGTCTCTATGGTGCCATTAATCTGACCTCATGTTCCTTGGGTCATCAGCCCCAACATGGTCCCTGCCAAGGCCTAGATTCAGGAGGGGAGGCAGGTGGAGCATTTATAAAAGTTCTCTTTCATCATTCGGGCAGTTCTGACTTATCCTTGAGTCCTTGTATCTTCTCTAGACAGTCACATAAAACTGGTTGTGGTGGTGTTAAAGCTTCCTCCATCAATCAAGCTGAATTGGAGAAGGCACACTGGGAGGGGAAAAATTAGTGGAATTTAAAAAATTTATATTATGGAAGCATTCAGCATCACATTTACAAGACTGGTTGGAGTCCAGTCCCAGGTTAATCCACTTTGTTGACTTCAGGACTGAATGCAAATAATGTTTGCGTAGTATTTTTATACCAATCGAATGTTAGACTGGAGCTTAAAAAAAATGGGAAGATTTATGGGTGCAAGTGCAGGATGCCTCTTCGAGTTCCTACGGTGGAACCCAAGTTAGGAAGTTTGGCTTTGATTTTCAATCTTGGAATCCTTGGAGTGCCACTTGTTCACCATTTGCTTGCACAGAAATACTGATAACTTGTTTCCCACCTACCTAAACGTGAGGTTTCTGGAAACTTAAAAGTGAGGACATTTAAAGAGGTGTTTCGGTGTTCCTTAAGAAAGCATGGTCAGTACTTGGGAGAAGGTGTATACATTTGGCTTGCCTCGAGACAAGTTGAGTCTGCCAGTAGTTTAAAGGAATAAATTTACCTGCTGGCCTGTGGCGATAGGCCTGGGGGGAGGCCCTGAGAGTGTAGTCCCTTTTTTTTTTTTTTGTCTGATGGCTTTAGGCCTTTGGAGACGTCCAGTGTTGTTCCTACTGGACAAGAATCTTCCTAATCATGACCATTATTAGTGGAATGGAAACTTTGCATTTCCCTTTTGTACCTGACAAAGCCAGCCTTTCAGAGACCCTCCAGATGAGCCAGGCCTAGCTCGCCCGGGAAAGACCCGCTCTGTGGATAGAAGGGTGTAGACCTTAATTCCTCCCTACTGTATTTGCATGTGGAGGCTCCAGGGCCTCGCACCCTGCTTACATTAATAAACATTTAAAAACAAAGAGCGGGCCGTGCAGGCACAGCTGTGCTTTGTGTGGTCTCCTTGCTAGGGTGCCTGTAATCCCCAACCCCTTGCGAGGGAAATGCCTGGTGCTGTGTGCGGAATAGGAAGGCCTGAGATGGAACCAAGTCACGTGCGGAATAAAGTAAAGCGGCTTCGGCCTGAGGCCAATTAAGGGAGACGGGAAAAGGGGGCGGAAAAAGAGAAAAAGAAAAAGCCCGTTAACGCAAACACCCGATTTCAGAGAGTATGTTCGCTCAGAGCGATGGGCAAGAGGAACATCGGAGCTGTTTAGACGGAATTGGAGGAGCAGCATCACAAAATAAACTTTGCGAAGTCAGGCTCCGTGCGGGGGTCGGGTGGCAAACCACATGGCCATGTGCTGAATCCAGAGGCCCTTTTTAGACCGGCTCCTCATGCCCGAGAGAGCTGGGCCTTGGGAGCCGGGCGCCTGGGTCTTGGCGGCAAGACCGGCACAATTAGCCTTTCAAAGCAGAGGCCCAGGGAGGCCGCCAGCCCTCGCAAGTCTGTGGCGGGCTCACGCGCCGCAGCACTGGGGACACTCCGGAGCGCCCGCCAGCAGCTCGGCCCCCTCGGCCCGCCCGCGCCGCACCGGGCCCCGGGCCTCCGCTGCGGCTGCACCCAGAGCCTGTTCGCTCCAGGGAAGCGCTGTTCTCCAAGCGCCTGGCGCAGGCCACGCGTCTGCCTCCTCCGGCCGCCCGCGCGGATCAAGAAGCCGGGGCAGGCAGCGGGAGTGCTGTCCCGGGATTTGGCTGGGAAGGGGGGCGCTTGGCCAGTTTTCATGCTTCCCCCTCCTCTTGACACTGGGTCAGTGGCAGGCGATCCGCCCTTGGTCGCGGCTGCAGGCTTGTTCCTATCCCCTCTGCCTCCCAGCTCCTCTCTGACCTCACTCTGTGGTGGGCCCCCCCGCACCCCCAGGGGACCAGCTCTGGAGATGGGCTAGGACGAGCACGGAGCACCCAACTGGCGCCTCTGAGGCAGGGCGTGAGGGCGCTGTCCGCGGGGAGCGGGGCCCAGGGCGCATTCCTGCCTGCACGGCCTGTTCCGCGGGGCCGCCCGAGCGGCGCTTTCCTTTCCGTATGCAAAGTGCCTGTGCTGTGCAGACGTCCGTGGTGGTGGTTTTGCATACAGAAGTGAATTCCAGGAGGCTGCTTGTGAGCACGTGGGTGAGTGTGTGTGTGTGTGTGCGCGCGCGCGCGCTCACACACACGCATGTTAATGTGCAGCTCCCTGCTCAGTGGGCGCCGTGTCGGTTCTCTGTCTTCCGTGAGTGTTCCAGTTGTGGCTTTGTGGTATTGAAATGAATGAAATCATGCAATCTGAAGTTACTGCAGAAACCTCCGGTCTCCTCTGTCTCTCAGCTCATCTTCCCCTGGGGAGAGAAGGTTTTAACCCAGAGAGCCTTGATGTACTTTAAACAGCACTGAGGTTTGTTTTCCTTAAACTCGGTCTGATTTCTTGAACGCTTGAAGTCTGTGCGGGGCCTTCCAACGTACCTCCTTTCTTCTGCGGCGGTTTGTCTTGTCTTTAACGAACGTGGAAAGGAACTTCAAGCGGCCTTGTTCTAGCCAGTCGTCAACGAACAGAGTGAGGATTTTGGTAGCTTGCTCCCGCCTGTCGGTGCACAGAAAACTGCCTCCCCTCCCCCACCCAGCCTGCTGGAGCCAGGCAGGAAGGGGCTGTCATCATGCTCCTGACTGAGCCCTATTCCTTTATTTTTCTTCTTAGAAAGTTACACTAGGAAAGATGTTCTTGATGTGGGATTATTATTCTTAGAGGGATTCTTGAGCTTTTCTCTGACTGCTCGGCTACAGCCTCACCGCTCCTAAGGCAGACAGACCCTCCACAAACTTTATGTTGAATGAATGCGGGAGAGCTGCAAGTCGGGAAGGTTGAATTCCCTCATTTCTTGGAAAATCTATGAATTAATTTCCTCTATAAATTTCCCGCAGCCCCGGCTCTGATCCACCAGCTCAAGAACCAGGCCCATTATGAATTTCACAGGATGATTTCTCATTTCAGGAGCTCCCTGGAGGGGAGAGAATGGAAGGGTTAGGCAGGGTGAGAGTTCACTTGCTGCCTTGGACTGTTGCACACATTGGACTAAAATATAAAAGCAGCACTAATAATACCAACAGTGGTGCTAATGAGGAATAGGAATGATGCTCACTGGGGCACCCCACCCTCCCACTGATCCACGGGGTGTTTTGGATTGGGATGCTTCTAGTCACTTCCATTTGGGCTCCAGTATTCAAACATGACTGGTTGTCTTGTCAAGATCCCAGCTGAATGAATCTCACCCATGATGTGACCTTGTGAATGTGGCCCTTCTTAAGGGGAGGTTACAGAAGCTAAAGTGAAGTGTTCACTGGGTATTTTTGAGCTCTGTCTTTCTGGAGCTCATGAGGAAAAACTCTTGTGCTTTCTAGGGTGACCAGCGTAGAAGTTCAGAGTGGAACGATGCCCTGGCTGGGTTCATTTTTTGTTGTTTTGCATTTGAGAAGCACCAGTTAACCACTTTCGTTTTAGACCTTCTGGGGGCATGGTGAGACTGAAGAATCTGTCTTCTGTTTTGGTGTGTTCATGGCTTTTGTGAATCTTTATGAAACTTCTCATATATGTGAATGTACTATAAACAGACTGAGGAATGTGAATGTGTGTAATTCGTGGTCCTTACCCTGAAGGAGCTTATGGCCCAGTAGGGGGCCTGAATCATGGTCATGATCATTGTACCATGGGCTGCTGAGCAGATCCCAAAGCCCTGCGCCTTGGCTGGACTGTTCCTTAAGGCCGGGGTCATGACTGTGAACTAAATTCATTGCCACTTGGATGTTCATACAGGAATATGTTTTCTCTGAATCAAAGCATTCTAGTTTGTAAACTTAGGAGACCCGAGAAATATCGTGGGTTGAGTCCTTGCATAGTTGGCCTTCTTGCCTCCTCTTGAATGCTGTAACCCTGGTCATTTCCTTTCTGCCATTCCCTTTCCTTCTCTTTTGTTCCCTTCCTCCTCTCTGCTGGGACCTACCCACCCCGCCACCCGCCACTCCCCTCCCAAATTGCTATTTGCCAAACTTGTGACCTGAGACCACTTGGCATTTCCCCGAGATGGCTGGAATTTACCACCCGCTGAATAGGCATTCTGTGACATTTGCTCACCTGGGCAGCTTAAGCTACATGGTCTGCAGCTGCCTTGGAGGAGCGCAAAGAGGAAGTGTGAAATTTACCTCTGTGCTCCAGGGTTCTTGCTAGCGCGGAGACAAACAATGATGCCTTCTAGAAGCGGGAAGGAATTTTTATCACGGTGCACATATATAGTTATACATCTATATAGTCATACACACATTTATTATGTATTCAATAAATGCATGTAGACAATTTGTGCATTATCTGTCATTCTCTAGTCATTATTTTAACAAATTAAATTTTCATGGTTAGCTTCATCTTTCACATTCATCCCCTCCCTCCCCACAGCTCCCTTCTCTCTTCTTCCTCTCCCTCCCTGCTGGTAGAAGACATTGAGTTAACATAATGCTCTTGGAGACCTTGTGCCACTAGACTGCCTGTCTCCTGAAGGTTTATGACACCGCCGGTGACGGCTTTCTCACTGTGGCCTGCCCAGCCCTTCTGCTGGTAAGGAAGTAGCTGCCTGTCTCTTTGGATCAGACTGGTCTAGGAGCTTGTTCAGTCCAGTTACAGGGACAGGCAAGCCCCAGGGGCTTCTCTCACTCTTGGAACTCCCAGACACAAGGTCTGTCTGTCCTGACTGTCAACAGAGGAACAGAACAGGCGATGTGAATGGCGAAGCTGTTACTTTATACGGGTGTCCTCTAAGTGATGTGAAAGGAAGAGTGCTCTGGGCCCCAGGCGGGGGGGAAGAGTGGTGGTGGTTCCTCCTGGAATGCAGCTTAGCAGAAAGTGTCAGCAGGAGTGATGTCCTTACATCGCTACAGAGCCGAGGATTCTTGTGTCCACACGTAATAACACCAAATGCACATAAAAAAAATCTACTTCCTATATGCATAGCTTCTACTGTTACTCCAGTTTCTTAGCTCCAGAAACTGAGAGTTTAATGAATTTTCCCAAAGTCAGGCAGCTCTTGCTTGAGAGGCTGAGAGGGGACATGTTTTACTAGGTCAGTTATTTACCAAGTATAGATTTTTTTTCTACAAAAATATTCATTCTCATTGAGGGACAGCTTTTCAAGTTGTGATTCTTCCTAGAAAATTTAGTGTAATCCTTCTCGATTGTCCAAATATCATTTTGTTTGGCTCTGATATCTCTGGCCCTGTTTCTCAGGTACAGAGACTTATTATGCAATGGCTGCAAGTGGCTACAAAATACAGGTAAAGAGGGTAAGTCCGATCTTCTCCTCGGGCCTGCTTCCTGGCTTGCATAGACCTCTGTTTTCTCTTTGGAAACCATCTGATTTCTTTTTAGCAGGGCACCTGACTTACGCTCACAGGTGGGCCAAGGCTTGACCTCGCTCGTTAGATATGTCACCTTCTCTAATTCTTGTTCGGAAGCCCGTGATTGGATGGGATCCTAACACAGGGTACAAGTCTTGTTCTTGGATGCCCTTCCTGGTCCCACCATCCTTCCACCAAACTTTCCTGTGCAGCCAGACTCAAGTTCCTGGGCCTTCAGATGATTCTGAGTAGTGCAGGTGGAAGCTCTATTGGTGAGACCTAGAAGTTTTATCCCTGCTGTTACAGAGCACTGTCCTTAGAATGACACACTGAGCAGCTCCTCTTTTTGATAATAGGTGTCCTCAGTTTATTTATTTGGGAGCGAGATCCCATATTTGGGTTCACTCCCCCAGTGTCTGCAATGACAGGGGCTGGCTAGACTGAAATCAGGAGCTAGGAATTCAAACCACATGGGTGTCCTGGACCCAGATGTTTCAGCCATTGCTGCTGCCTTGTAGGGTGCGCATTAGCAGGAAGCTGGAATCAGGAGCTGAGTCAAGACTTGAGCCTAGGCATTATGATCTGGGGCATGGGCATGGTAACCACTAGGCCAGCAGACCTCCCTGAGTGGTATCAACTTTGAGGAGGGGACATTGGTTTCCCAAGGAGAGGTGGAGGCCCAGAGAGCAGCCTGATGTTCAGGAACTGGGTGGAGACGACTGCTGATGATGGGAGCTGTTGCCAGATCTGTTAACCTTCAAATCACCAGAGTGTTGGATGCGAAAGGCATAAAAAGAATCCAAAGCATGGCCCATGTATATTTATTGTTTAGAAAATAGTCCAATACCCAGAGAACCTTAATAAAGAAAAGAAAATTTTACCAAAAAAAGTAGAATAAAATTCACCTTTAATTGTAGGACCCTGGCTCAAAGTCTGTTTTCCATTTTTTGTTTTCCTGGTGTTTATATATTCTCCCTGTCATTTTCCTATGGCTATAGGAATTTTCCATTTCTTGAGGATGATTACATATTCAGGGATGAGATTCTCTTCTATTTATAAACAGAACCTGTTATGTATCTTATTTATTTATTGCTTTTCTCATTTCAAAGAGGAATTCAAACAGCTTACCAAAAAGTACAAGTGATACCAAGGAGATTTATGAAATAAATGGGGAAATTGGAAGAGAAAATTCAGGTAGAGCAATGAAATAAAATGTGAAGGAATGTTAGAGTGTAAAATTACATGCATGAAGTCCTTTCTCACTGTGTACATCCCAACTTTTTGCTAATGAGGTAATAGCTACCTGTCTCTTTGGATCAAATTAGTCAAGGGCCTTATTCACTCCAGATCCTAGAGAAGTTAGTTCTAGATTTAACTCTGTGCTTCCTGGTAGCAAAAGCAAAAGAGGAAACAGCATCATTTTCAAATTTCAAAGCATTTAGGCTTCAAAATCACTCAGCTGCTTGAGAAAGGACTTCTTTTTTCCATATACTGGGTCTTGTACCACATTTCTTTCATTGTTTCTATTGAGAAGATGCTAAGTGATATGATGGACATTGTCCTTAACAGCATTTCATATATTTTCTTGTTTTGTTTTTTTGTTTTTGAGATTTGGGTCTGTCAGTCAAACCAGCCTCAGGGATGAGGAGTCAGGTCAGGAGGTGTCTCAAATCCAAGACTTCATCATCTGGATTAATCCATAAGTATTCAATAGCATCTGAAGTTGTTGGGCCTAGATTCTTGCCTAAAAGCCCCAGGCAAAGTTACAACAATGGGGACAATGGTGGCCTGATTAAAAACCTCTCCTCCACCAGGATTAAAAACCTCAGCAATAGTCAGAGGGACCCTGGTGGCCCACTAAGTAGACCCAAGGAGCCTGTGACACTCTGGGAAAGAATTTAATTCTTATTGGAGCACATGCAGGGAAACAGAGGCAAGAAGCCGGTTAGGAGACAGAGTTCCGAGACAGAGTAGAGGGGCTGGCACTTTTCACAACTCCCTTAGACTAACTTCCCCATCCTCTAGCTTGTAAGCTGGCCAGATGGTGGTGTTATATTTCATATTTTGCCATAGCCCTTTATACATAACCTCTCCACAGTACTCACCAGATTTTATGATTATTGCTTTATGATGTCATTCCCTTAATATTTTCTGAATCGAAACATTGCTTTATCTGCTTATCCCAAAAGGGGAAGAATCATTTATTAACATTTATTGAGTTCGAGTTCTTGCTACCCTTGACTCAGATTCTCTTGAGTGAGTGCTTAAGGTTTATTAGGCATAAACACATTTTTTTTTAAAGATGTATTTATTTATTTCAAAGACAGAGTTACAGAGAGGCAGAGGCTGAGAGAGAGAGAGAAAGAGAGAGAGAGAGGTCTTCCACCCACTGGTTCACTCCCAGATGGCCGCAATGGCCAGAGCTGCAATGATCCGAAACCAGGAGCCAGGAGCTTCTTCCAGGTCTTCCACATGGGTGCAGGGACCCAAGGACTTGGGCCGTCTTCTGCTGCATTCCCAGGCCATTAGCAGGGAGCTGGATCAGAAGCAGAGCAACTGGGACTTGAACCAGCACCCAGATGGAATGCTGGCACTGGTGTTGTAAGCGGCAGCTTTACCCACTATGCCACAGCTCCGGCCCCAACACATATTAATAGATACACGGGCCTCTTGCCTGGTTTGAACTTTTTTATCTCTTGAATAAAAGTGTGTATATTTTATCTTTTGC